GGGGGTGCGGCCCGCACCTAGGTGACACCATTGGAGGGTTGATACCAAAATGACTGACAGTCATTTTGGTGTCACCCCCCCTCTGGAAAGTCGGGCGCTCGGTCATGGACAGTATCAGGAGAGAGAGGAAGGGACACGGCAGCTGTGGTGGAACTACATATCTCACCATACTCTTGCCTCTAAGAGTTATGTGCAGGGCCGGATTTCCCACATGGCCAACCGAGGCCCGGCCTCGGGGCAGCAGGGAGTAGAGGGGCAGCAGGGGTGTGGAATTCCTATCTCCCGATGCCCAGGACATGCAGTTCCGGGTGACGGGCGGGTGGTTGTTTTCTTCATTTAGCCCGGCTTTGGGCAAGCAGAGCTACATGTACAGCGGGGAAGCAGCTGCTTGTTTTGTACAAGTGATCCCGGCGAAGTCGCTGAGATCAATTGTATGCAGCCTGCAGGTCTACCATTCTCCATGGGGGGGGGGGGCTTGGCAGGTAGGGGGGTGCATTGAGGAACCTGGCCTTGTGGCAGCAGAGAGAGTAAATCCGGCCCTGGTTATGTGGCTGTCAGAGACTTGCCCTTGTGGGATTTGTTGTTCCACAAACAGCTGGAGTGCCGAGGTTTCCTACCCCTGGAATAGGGAATGTTCACTTGGTTGAAGTGGCTTAATAAGGTGAAGCTTTATTTACTATGAATACCCAATCAATGTGAGATTTAACAAAAATTGGGGTTTTTGCTTGGCCGTGGTTGGATGGTCGCCGTGGACACCGCTTCTACTTATTTACTAAGCTTGCTACTCATCTGTTTCACTTAGTGAACGATCTCTGCTCCCCTAATGAATTAGAATCAATGTATCTCGAGAGTTTTCCATTTTATTGGACAGCCTATTCTCAGTGAAGCTTCGCAAGGACCCATGGGATGGCCTTGCTGCACCTCAAATCACCGCTCCTTACAAAAAAACAACATCGCCTAGCCACACATGTCCCGCTGGCAGCCAAACAAACTATTGCCTCAGCATGGAAAAAGCAATTTGTATCCTTCGGGGAAGCTACACGGCGCATAGACTTTTTTCTGTCTAAACGAGAAGCTGACCAGCATCCTCTCGGACACCAATAAATCTTTCGCTAAGATCTGGCAACCCTGGACAGACTATACCCACCCCTCCCTGGCTCCAGCTAGCCTCTCAGCCCTCTAGGCACCCACGTTAAAAGAGCTCGATCAGG